AACATTCTCCCTCGAGTGGCTTTTGAGTTTGAACCTCCAACCTTGTGGCTTAGGAGTCCAGCACCCAACAGCACCTCCCCTGTGCCATAGAGGGGTCGATTCACATCTAATCCTGATATAGATTTTTCATTGTGTTTATTGATTTAGATAATCAGTATGGAAGAGTGGGTTACCAGCGCTCAGCTGGTAGCTAGAAGGTCCGTGGCTGGCACCTGCTCGGTGGGATAAAGATGTCACAGACCGCTTTCATGAAGCCTTGAGCTTTCGGAACCCTGTGGGCCATGATCCTTTGTTCTGCAGAGATGTATCTGTTGGCATGGGCTCACTAGCAGCACATTTTAGGTCTCAGAACAAACACAAGCCTGTGCTGAAAAGAAATAACACCCTTCCCAATAGATAATCAACAGCACATGTTTCTCCTGCTTTCATTCAAACTTTATCTCTCAAAGTGATGACTGTTAATAGGCTCCTTTTTGTGTGCATATCTCATCGATTAAAAACACATGCTATCATTAAAGACACAATGATTACTGTTTGGCTTTTACCCAGTGTCTGAGTAGAGGACAGTCTCTGGAGATAAGGGTGGGAGAGACGGGTTTACCAGTTTGTAATGCCCCTCAATGGTTGGAAAGTATCATTTATGCTTGGCGTGCCTGCCCCCGTGTGTTATAGATTGGTTGGATTAAACATAGACTTGAGAGAATTTATCAACATTCTATTCTGTTCCGTTGGCCCATTTATTGAACACTACCTCAGTGTTTTAGTTGCAGGTGGGTGGCTTAATGAAGAGAAATGTATCTTCTCACCGTTGAGGAGGCTAGAAGACTGAATTCGGGCTCTAGTGTCTAGAAGACGGCCCCTCTGCTCTGCTGGACAATCCTTCTCTCAGATTGTCTGTCCCTCTGTCCCTTCCACGTGGCATCAGCCTCTCTTCATTTGCTCTTGCTGCCTTCTGTGCCTAAATTGTTTCTTTGATATTCAAAAGTGATTGGCTTAAGATAAACCCTGCACTGACAACCCAAACTCAAACCCACTGTCTTAAGGTCTACTCTGACTGCTCTGTGAAGCAAGGCACTGGGGGTTTCTGAGACTGTAACTCTTCACAGGGGCAGACAGCCTCACCTTTCTTCTGGAGAGGGACTGGTGGTTTCACACCACTGATCTTGTGGGTAGCAGTCCAATGCCAAGCTCACAGCTCCACCAGCCTCATTAACGTAACAAGGAAAATCCTCTTGCAAATGCGATAGAAGCCGAGATTTACAGCACAGATATTTATGGGACACAATTCAGTCTATACCACTGCTCCATTTAAAGATATAGGTTTAATTGGTTTTCAATGTCACATTCCACAGCCCTCACCTTCCCAGTCCTCCGCCTTGCTGGAGGGAGCAGCGTGTATGAAGGCCGCGTGGAGGTCTACCACGGGGGTCAGTGGGGAACCGTTTGTGACGACCAGTGGGATGATGCGGACGCCGAGGTGGTCTGCAGGCAGCTTGGTCTCAGGTGTGCTTTTGTTTTGTTTCATTTTGCTTTTAATCTATTATTTTTATACCCCAAGGCAGGTGGTATTTGTTTAAACTGTAGATTTCCTTGAACAAAGAAAAAGTTACCTTTGGATTTTTTTTTTTGGACTAGGCTGTGGACTCCTTGTAAAGAAATTACCCGTAGTCCTGCAGGTTTCTCTTGTTTGTGTTTGAGTTTAGGTGAAACTCTAAGCCCTTTACGTTTTTTTTTGTTGTTAGCCTTCGCTTTCCTTCCAGGTAACGAGCAGCGTTGTCAACCATGGTGACTTGACAATGTAATGAAACCCTAACACAGTGGTTCTCAGCCTTCCTCATGCCGCGACCCTTTCAGACAGTGTCTTGTGCTGTGGTGGCCTCCCAACCATAACATTATTTTCATTGCTACTTCATAACTGTCATTTTGCGACCGTTATGAATCGGCGACCCCGTGAAAGGGTCGTTCGACCCCCAAAGGGGTCGATACCCACAGGGTGAGAACCGCTAACTAACAGATGTCTAAACGTTTGAACTCTGCTTCCTTGTGTGCTACAGAAGTGCTTAGAACAAAGGTTCTCTTTCATGTACAAAGGCATTCTTGATCGCCACGTAGGCTGTGGAGGGAAAGCACGCGCACTCCTGACAGCGTGCCCTGATGTTTCCGTTGTGTTTATTCTAGGATGCTGCGTTATAAATGCGGATCTTCTCGTCTTTCTCTTTGGTTCTCCTGAATATTTGGGGTGATAAGTCTACAAGCCTCAATAACCTTCTCTTCAGGGATTGTTTTGAAGTTAATATTTTAATTTTAATTTGTAAACGATTCTGTTTTACATATTGGAGGGTAGTGGAACGACCTCTAGAGAATGCAGCTCTTTTGTCCATGTTTCATTGTGTCTCATTAAGCATAATCCTTTACATTGGAGTATGATTTAGAGACCTTAACCAGATATGCAATACTATCCACCACCACCCACACTGTTGACTCCTCTGTTTGTTTGTGTTGACATTTAAAAGTAAAATTTAGAAAATTTAAAATTTTACCTATATATACCTCGCTTAACTAAATTACAGTGATACAAATAGAATTGGCCTTAATATGATTAATAATCATAATATTCAAATGTGCATAGCTGCCTTTACAATGCCCTTTACAGCTGATTTGTCTGAAGCAGAATTTAGTGCAGACTTTTGCATTGCCTCTGGATGTTATGTCTTTAAATCTAGAGTAGTCTCTCTCTTTTTCTCTCTCTCTCTCTTCTCTTGCTGCCTGATTATGGAGATCAGACCAGTTGTTCTGGGTTTGCCTCATTTTTTTCTTCCTAGCGTCATTGGGTTTATTTTTTCCCTCTGGTTCTTGTCACTCCTGAGACTGAAGGTCCAGGGCCAAAGACTTGATGAGATCAAAGTAAACATTTTGGCTAGAAATTGTCCCACATGATGCATTCTCATCTGTAGGAGTCCCAGGGACTACCTCTGGTTTTTCCACCACTAGTGTGACTAAGATTGAAGGGGGTGTCGGCTACATTTTTAAATATTCTGACTGTGTATCAGCTTCCAGACCCCTTTTCCTAAAGTTTCCAGGTGCTGTGGTTAGAGTTGGTATAATATAAGAATTATGAGCATGATCTCTGGACTCCAAATGACTTGAATTTGAATCATACCTCTGGATTTGAGAGAAGTTACAGCACTCTTCCTCATTCACAGCCTGTTTTATAATTCATAGGATTTAGAGTCTATAATTTTACTTGGATCCACCATCAATGTCCATGGAAGTAGCAATCAAGAAATCAAACAAAGTATTACAGTGGGCACATTTGCCCTGCCTAACACCGCCAGCCACAGCCTTTTCACGAGCCTCCTGTGCACGAGAAGGCTGGGCAATGACTACGGAAAGCTGAAGATGAATTCTGGTGTTGCAAAGACTGTATCATAGATGGCAGAAGAATGAACAAATCTGTTTCGGAGGAAGTGAGGACGATGAGACGTAATTGCTTGCAGATCACATGTAATGTGGACATGCTATCTGAAAACATTAGACCCCGGAGAAGGACATTATCCTCATTGAAAAAAAGAAGCCCTCCAGGAGATGGATTGACAAAATGGCTGCAACAGTTCGTTCACATACATGATGATATGAGGATGACACGGGGTTGGATAGTGTTTCATTCTGTTGTATCGAAAGTCGCTATGAGTTGGAACCAACTTGACTGCACCAATAAGTGTCTCAAAAAGGAGCCCTGGAAGCACAGTGGCGAAGCCCTTGGCTGCTAATTGAAAGGCGGATGATTAAAACCTACCTTTATTGGCTATCTACTCTACGAAAATGTGTGGGACGTATCTATGCTGTCGCATAGGGTTGCTATGAGTTAGGGAACACAACAAGTGTTTACAAGTGGGCACTGATGGCTTAGTGGTAGAATTCTCACATTCCACATGGAGACTAGATAGGGTTCCCAACTAATGCACCTCATGTGCTCCATCACCTGTTGGCTAGTGATGGCTGTGTATTGCTATGATGCCAAACAAGTGTCAGTCAATCCAAACTAAGATGCACTAAGGGGCAAGGGCTAGTGATATACTTCTAAAAAAGCAGTCATTAAAAACTCCAGATTACAGTAATCTGATCGAAAACAATTATGTTGATGGCTCAGGACTGGGTGGCATTGTGTTCTGTTGAACATACGGTTACTATGAGTAGGCTGCCAAATCAGTGACATCAAACAAGAATGTATAAAGCAGTTAATACACATAGAATGTTCCAAGACACATTAGCGCTCAAGGTCTGTCTAAGAACTGTTATATTTCAAAGAAGGAACCCTGGTGGCACATGGTTAAGCTACTAACTGCAAGTTTGGTGATTTGAATCCACCAATGCTCTTGGAAGCAGCAGTCAAGCGATCCAAAAGCACAATGCATTAGGTAATTCTGTTGCAGTAAATCTCTTTAGAAGATTGAAAAGCCAAGATGTGTCTCTGTGGACTGTGGTGTGCCTGACCTAAGCCATGGTATTTTCAATTGCCTTATGCATGTGAAAGTTGGATGTTGCATAAGGAAGACCAAGGAAGAATTGATGCATTTGAATCATGGTGGTGTAGAAGAATATTGAAAGTACCATGGACTGCCAAAAGGACAAACAGACCTGTATTGGAAGAAGTATGGTCAGAGTGCGCCTTAAAGGCAATGATGGCAAGACTTTGGACATATTGTCCTGAGAGACCAGTCCCTCAAGAAGGAAATCATGCTTGGTAAAGTGGAGGGGCCGCTACAAAGAGGAAGACCCTCAACAAGATGGATTGATACAGTGCTACAACAAAGGGCTCAGGTGTGGGAACGATTGGGAGGATGGTGCAGGATCGTGTGGTGTTTCGTTTATTGTGCACAGGGTAGCTATGGGTCAGAACTGACTCGATGAGACCGTAACTCTTTACAGGAGTAGAAAGCCTTGTTTTTCTCCTTCGGAGTAGCTGGTGGCTTGGAACTGCGAGTCTTGTGGTTAGCATCCCAACCTGTAGCCACTCCATCGTAAGATGTTCTATTTTTCTCCAGCCTGAGTTCGTCTGTATCTTTGTAACGCTCACCAAATGATTGGGTGACACCCTGTACATAGGGCGTGAGAAACACTAAGGGAGGGGTGGGCCAGCTTTACTCGTCCTCTGGGTATAAGAAGACATCTCAGGAGCAGGAATCGGATTCCTACGATAATCAAGAAGAAGAGCCACCGTCGGAGCACATTTGAAACCCCTTCCTGAAGTGGCCGAGGCACAAGAGGCAGCGCAGAGGAGCTCTTGAGGCAGAGTGAGAGATTTCTCAGCCTGGGGAGCAAGGCAGAGCCTTGGCATCGAGGGGCTGAGGACCAGAGAAAGACATACTGCTGTGGACAAACAATTGTATCCTTAATTTCTTTGGTTCATTTATTTATTTTTTTTAATCCTGACTAGGGAAGGTAGCCTGTAACTTCTCTAGTAAATCCCCATAAGTATTATCTCTGAGTTCTGTGTAGTCTCGCAATGGGCTGTTGAACCCAGCAGAGAAATAGAGTGCCTTGGGAGGAACAGTTAGTATCAGAATAATAAGGGTAGAGGCATGTCTAACCTGGTGGCAGTCACCCTTGGGCTTGGGTTTAGTTGGGTTCTCCTTCTCCCTACTGAAGCCAGAGAAGGCTAGATGTGGCCTCCATGCCATATCCCCACTGTGTTTTTAAAGAGAAGCTACTTGTTTGGAAAAGGGATTGAAAGGGAAAATGCCTCTAAGTGTAAAGGCAGCAAATCCAGTTTCGTCAAGGTTTGCTTTCATGATACGTGCTCTGATCCTCGGAGGTGACATGGTTCGTCTGTCTTTCTTTTGTCTGTTGGTACAGGTCTCTCATAAGATTGCAGTAGAGCCATATTCTGCAGCTTCTCTTCCTCTCTAATTTGCTTTGCTCACTTAAAGGCTAAGCACTTTGAGATAAAATTGTTTTTTAATGGCATTTGGTTAATAGCAGGTAGCATACTTGTTGTTTGTCTGAATTTATGATCCGTTATTAAGCAAAGTTCATCTCGGTCTTATTTGCTTTGTTGAATCCCCAGTGGGACACTATATCAAGCCGCCCTGGAGTGAGAGTGATGCTTGCAATTTCTTTGTGAGATGACATCTTTGTTAACCCTCATCTTTTAATGGTATCTGTATTGTTTGGTGGCTGGCAGACTTCCAAATACAAAAAGAATTGCTGTACTTAAATTCAATTAACCTAGAACTTGGAGAAAGATGAGGAGCAGGAAAAGAGGTAGCCAGATGTTAGGAGAAAAGATACCTGAGAATGTGTATGTACACAGTGATGTTTCAGGTGAGACATGCTAATCAGAATTTTATTTGTGTGCTTCACATTAAAAGCATTTTATCATTTTTTTTATTTTAAAAAGCATAGTTTGTATCTGTGACATCATATTTTATTTTTGACTTCATAATTTGCATAACATTACTTAGGGAAGGGCTAGAGCGATAGAAAGACTTTCTTCCCAAATGTACGGACCTAGATGAAGGACACGTCACGAAAGAGGAGCTTCACACTGACAGTTCAATAAAGGTTTCTATGATCTTGACTTTTCCTCATTAATCATTCTGTCTAGAGAAGTACAACACTTTTGACATCCCCACACTTTTATCCAGAGAAGTAGAAACTAGTTTTCTATTCTGCCATTGAATTTCTTTTTGGCAAAGCTGATTCACAAACTAAATTCATTTTGGCAATATCATTCACGTTAGATTTTTTTGGTTTGTTTTATATTTCTTCCATATTTGTCTGAATAGAAAGATAAGAATCTTTAATAGTTGTCCAGCAAAACTGCTCAGAGTTCGCTGTTCTATAAATCAACTAGTGATTTAAGTGTTAAGGTTTTGGGTTTAAAATTTTAACCTTGTCCAAATGCCTTATCGACAATCTACTTTTTTCTCACCGTTGTTCACACCTTCTCCTTTACACATTTCTTTATCCTTGTCCTTGGCATAGTCTGCCTTTAATGGGAGTGTGTTCGGTGTTTAAATTGCTTTGTAAGGATCCCTGGTGGTAGAGTGGGTTATGGGCTGGGCTGCTAACCACAAGGTCAGCAGTTCGAACTCACCAGCCACTCTAAGGGCAAAGGTTGAGACCTTCTACTCCCATAAAGGTTTTCAGCCTCAGAAACCCACAGAGGCAGGTCCACTCTGTCCTGTTGGGTTGCTATGAGTTGGAATTGTCTTGATGACAGTGAGTTGGGCTTGGGTGTTTTTAAATGGAAGTTTTAGATTAATAGCAGATTTCAGATATTTTGAGTTTATAATACACGTCCTCCCTCAACAGATGCCACCCTTATGTCTACTAAAGGTAGTCAGGCCAGGTCCCCTTTAACAAATAACTTGGCTATCCAAGAATTCTCCAATACTGAGGTAGTATAGCTATTAACAAACTTCTTCGCATTCTTTGGTTGTAAAACCTCAAGGCAGTTATAATGTCATAAGAAAAGGGCATCTTTAGGGGATTAGATACAGTGTTATTGAAAAATGAATCGAAAAGTAAATGCTCTACTCTAAAATTTAAATGGCTAAAAGAGACTAAAGACATTCGTCTGGAGTCACTTGTAATTTTGATAGGCAATCTTGGTTTTCCTTGAAATAGAGAGCTTTTGAATATGGCTCTACTTTTATTGTGGAGGAAATATATTTAGCACAAATAAAAGATCCCAATGACAATGTTTTAATTAGAACTAGGCTTATCTGTGAGTAAGAGAACTACAAATAACAGTAGCTTAAAGAAGATCGAGTGCCTTTCTCTCCCAAATAGACCGGAGATCGTTAACTTGGAGTTAGTGTGATGATTCCCCAACCATAAAAGTACCAGACTCTTTTTGGCTGAATGTTTTCCCATCCTTAGCATGCCAACTGATGGCCCAGTATACCTGCTCTTGCTCCAGCCACCACCTCTATCTTACAGTCCATAGGAGGTCTTCCTGTCCCCTCGCTTGAAATGATACGTGACACTTCAACCTCCATCTCAATGGTCAGAATTTAGTCATCTAGGAGGGGAGGTTGGGAAATGTCTTTAGTCTGGATAGTTTCTGACCACTTAAAAAATCTGGGGTTCTTTTGGGAATAATGAGGGCAACAAATGTATAGATGTGTTTTATACAATTGATCTATGTATTGTGATGAATTGTATGAGCCCCAATAAATTGATTAAAAAAAAATCTGGGGTTCCATTACTACTGAAGTAAAGAATAATAATTGAGTAATTGAGTAACAATTGAAATGTATAAAGAGAAAAATCATACATGATTGTTGGGTTCCATTGAAAGGGGAAGGCATGAGTTAACCACAGTGGTGTTACTGTTGAATTGACTCTGGATCCAATGTAATATCGAGTGGCATGAAACACAGTTTGCCCGGTCATTCTTCCTAGTCCATCTTTGGAAGCTCTGCTGAGACCTGTTCGGCACCATGGCAATGTGCAAACCTCCACTGACAGATGGGCGGTGGCTGAGCAGAAAGTCCAATGGCTGGGGATGGAACCCAGGTCTCCCACAAGGAAGTCAAGAAGGCTACGAGTGAATCACCAGTGCTCTCATGTGAATTCATCATAACTGTTTCTTTACCAAAGGCAAAGGAAATAAGCCAGATACCTAAATAATTCTGCGTTTAACTCAGAGTGCTTTTATTTTTATGTTCAGTGGCATTGCCAAAGCATGGAACCAGGCATATTTTGGGGAAGGATCTGGCCCCATCATGTTGGATGAAGTCCGCTGCACTGGGAATGAGCTCTCTATTGAACAATGTCCCAAGAGCTCCTGGGGAGAACACAACTGTGGCCATAAAGAAGATGCTGGCGTGTCCTGCACTCCTTTGACAGGCAAGCGTTTCACATATAATTATTGTTGACAGAATTTTTTGTAAAGTTTTAATTGGAGAAATTGCTTAATTTAAACATTCGTTTGGTAATAAAATCTAAATTGAGAAGTTGGGGAGGTATGGAAGCCCAAATGGTGCTATGGACAAGAGTTTTTATGTTAAAAAATGCTAAAAAAAAGAAACAAAGATATGAGTATTATATATTTAGTCCATTCATGCATTATCTTATCTTGAGTCTCAGAATATAGCTGCTAAAACTGTTTGTGAAATTGTTAATTAGAGCACACTATTAAAGAGACCAAAGAAATTGTGTTTACCAATGTCCAGACAATGTCAAGTAGCAGTCCACTTGTTAAAATCTCATGTATGGTAAGAAGATTGTGGGTGAAGGCAAAAGAGTGCATAACTATGTTCTTCTACATTTTGTGGGGTAAAAGGGGAAACGGACGGGCGAGAGTGGCTGGGGCATCACAAATCTATTCTAAAATTAAAAAGAACTTAAGAAAAAAGATGTTTTAAAAAATCTTTTGGGAGAATTATTTTTTAATGATTTGAGGTCTGGTTGCATAATGGTTATGCATTAGGCTTCTAACCACAAAGTCCACAGTTCAAAGCCACTAGCCACACCACTGGAGAAAGACAAGACTTTCTACCTTCCTAAAAACATTTCGGTTTGGGAAACCCACAGGGACAGCTCGATCCTGTTCTATAGGGCTGCTACGAGGATGGCATAAGCTCAGTGGCAGTGAGAGTGAGTTTATCAAGGGCTAAATTTGTGTTTTTCTAGTTAGCACTGTGGGGTAAGTATTGAGTTGCTAACAAGATCAGCCATCGAACTCGCAGGGAGGAAGATGAGGTGTCCTGTTCCCCTACAGGTTTGTTGCTGTTGTTATTAGGTGCAGGCAGCTTGGTTCCAATGCACAGCAACCCGATATGGACCAGAACAGAACACGGACCACTCCTGCGCTGTGCTCACAATTTCTTTTTAATCATTTTATTGGGGGCTCATACACCTCTTATCACAATCCATACATCAATTGTGTCAAGCACATTAGTATATATGTTGCCATCATCATTCTCAAAACATTTGCTTTCTACTTGAGCCCTTGGTATCATTAACTCCTCATTTTCCCCCCTCCCTGCCCGCTCCCCCCTCCCCCCTGAACCCTTGATAATTTATCAATTATTATTATTTTGTCATATCTTACGCTGTCTGATGTCTCCCTTCACCCACTTCTCCGCTCCCCGTCCCCCAGGGAGGAGGTTATATGTAGACCACAATATCTTTTATGGTTTAGCCTTTGTTTCAGCCACTGTGTCAATGTATGTTGTTGAGGAGCTTCCTTGTTTTCACTGCCTTTCTATTTTAGCATGCTTGATATTTTCCTGACAACATGCCCAAAGTACACGAGACAAAGTCTCCTCCCCATCCTTGCCTCTCAGAAGATTCTGGCTGTACTTCTTCTAAGACAGATTTGTTTGTTCTTTTGATAGTCCATTGTAATTTCAATATTCTTCTCGGACACCACAGTTCAAATGCATTGATTCTTCCTCGATTTTCCTACTCAATGTCCAACTTTCATATGCTGATGAGGCAATTAAAAATACCTGACTTGGGTCAGGCATATGTCCTCAAAGTAATATCCTTGCTTCTCAATACTCTAAAGACGTTTAGTGCAGCAGATTTACCTCATTAATGCAACTCATCTTTTGATCTCTTGATGAGCTGTGATTGTGGAGCCAAGCAAGACAAAATCTTTGACAACTTTGATGTTTTCTCCATTTATCATGATGTTACCTGTCGATCCAGTTGTGAGGGTTTGAGTTGTTAATTACATTGTCATCCACACTGAAAGCTACATTCCTTGGTATTCATCAGCAAGTGCTTCACCACTTGTCTGTCAGTTTGTCCTTCCGTGGTGGCTTGCTTGTGGCTGTGATGCTGGACGCTATATCATGGTTATTTCAAATGCTAGCCGGGTCACCCAAAGTGAACAGGTTTTGACAGAGCTTGCAGCTTACGCGCAGACTACAAAGAACAAATAGGCTGTCCACTTCTGAGGAATTAGCCGCTGAAGATCTATGATAGCATCAAAAGATTGAAATCTCATGAAAACCTCATGAACAGAACCAGAATATTGTCAGAGATAGTGCCAGGAGATGGTCTCCTCCGCTGAGTCACCTGTTGAGATGACTGAGGAAGAGCTTCTTCTCTAGAGTTGACCATAATGGATGGAATAAAGTGTGTAAGATTAAGCCTTCGGGACCTTCATTTGCTGATGGGGCACAACTCAAAATGAAAGAAGCAACTGCAAACATCTATTAATAATCGGAACTTTATAAAATTTATATTTAAAAAAAATAAAAAATAAAAAATTATATTTTAAAATCATTTTATTGGGGGCTTGTACAACTCTTATCGCAATCTATACATACATCTCTTGTGTCAAGCACATTTGTACATATGTTGCCATCATCATTCTCACAACATTTTCTTTCTACCTGAGCTCTTGGTATCAGCTCCTCATTTTTTCCCCTTCCTCCCCCACAGACCCTCAATAATCTACAAATCATCATTATTTTTTCATGTCTTACACTGTCCAATGTCTCCCTTCACCCACTTTTCTGTTGTCCATCCCACAGGGAGGGGGTTATATGTAGATCCTCGTGATCGGTTCTCCCTTTGTCCCGCCACCTTCCCCTTCCCCTCCTGGTATCGCTATTCTCATTATTGGTCCTGAGGGGCTCATCTGTCCTGCATTCCCTGTGTTACCAGCTCTGATCTGCACCAGTGTACACCCTCTGGTCTAGCCGGATTTGTAAGGTAGAATTGGGATCATGCTAGTGGGGTGGGGGCGGAAGCATTGAAGAACTAGAGGAAAGTTGGATGTTTCCTCGGTGCTATCCTGCAGCCTGACTGACTCGGCTCCTCCCCACGACTCTTCTGTACAGTTGCCTACAGATGGGCTTTGGGTCTCCCCTCTGCACTCCAATAATTGGAACTTTTAATGTATGAAATATGAATCTAGGAAAACTGAAAGTCGTCATAATAGAAATGAGGTGTGTAAAGAAGGATCAATATCATAGGCACTGGAGAGCTCAAGTGGACTGCTTTGGCCATTTTGAACCAGGACATCTCATACTTTCACCTCTGCCTGGAGTGACAGAGTTAAGAGGAATGGCATTCGTCACATTCATCATCAAAAAGGACATGTCAAGGTCTCTCTTGAAGTACAAAGCTATCTGTGATAGAATTATATCTATCCACATACACGGAAATCAAGTCAATACAACTATTATTCAAATGTATGCACCAACAACTTGCTAGTGATGAAGAAATTGAAGAATTTAACCAAGGTCTTCAGTCTGAAATTGATCAAGCAAGCAATCAAGATGCGTTGATAATTACCGGTGCTTGGGGTGTAAAGGCTGGAAACAAAGAGGAGCAGTAGTTGGGAAATGTGGACTTGGTGCTAGAAAGGAAGCTGGGAATCACATGATAGAATTTTGCCGGACCAGCGACTTGTTCATAGCAGGTACCTTTTGTCAACAACACAAAAGGCTGCTATACACATGGACTTCTCTAGCTAGAATCCTCAGAAATCAAATTAACTATGTCTGTGGAATGCCAGGCTGGAGAGGCTCAGTATCAGAGGTAAAACCAAACCAGTAGCTGATTGTGGAACAAAGCACTAATTTCTCATGTAAGTTCAGGTTGAAGCAGAAAAAAATGAAAAGAAGTGCACGGAGGCCAAAATAGGACCTTGAGTGTGTAAAAATTTAACAGCTGCGAAACCCTACATAGAATTGCTATGAGTCAGAATCAACTGCGTTCACCTATGTTGTTGTTTTTATTAGCAATAGAACACAGTTATAACAGTAAGAGCTTTGGGCTAGGAAAAAGAGACCTTGTTTCCTAGTGCCTAATTCTCTCTTAGGACGTGCATATTATGCCTGAGCATTCCATTTTCTTCAGTCTCAATTTTCTGCTCTCTTGAATGAGCAAAATAATACCTGGAATATTTGCCTTGTAGTATTGGTATGATGAACAGATGGAATAATATGGGTACCAGTGCTTTGTAAATTATTATAGTAATAGATGGTTCTGGTTTTTGCTAAGTCATGAAAAGTATAATCTCTGTCCAAGAGTGTTTCATTGAACGTGTTGGCATTAGTTTGGAAGGAAACACATTTTAAATCTCGTTTGGTATGAGTTTATGGTATTGGATCTGTTTAGAAGTTCTTTCTATTATTCTTTCTCTGGGGTTTATTCGTTGAGTTAAAAAATCAAATCTGGACTATGTAAATAAAAAGGAAAGGAAACTATACCTTGGTTTTTATCATTTGAATATTATTTATGAATTATTAAGGACCAAATTGGATGATGATAGTTCAGAGATGGCTGCAGCAGTATATTGATAACAAACTGCCAGAAATCTAAGCCAGAGTCAGAAGAGGGTGTAGAATGAGAGATGTCACTGATCCTTGCTGAAAGGAGAGAGTACCAGAAAGATACTTCCCTGTGCTTTATTAGCTATGCTAAGGCATTCAATTAGGTGGATCATAACAAATTATGGATAGAATTGTGCAGAGTGGGAACTCTAGGGCACTTAATTGTACTCTTCAAGACCCTGAGTGAAGACCAATGGGCAACAGTTGGATGAGAACAAGGAAATCCCGTGTGGTTTAAATGCAGGTAAGCTGTGAACCAGGATTGCATACTGTTACCAATCTTATTCATTCTGTATTCTGAGCAAATATCTAAGAGGATGGATTCTATGAAAGAGAACATGGCAGTAGGGTTGGAGGAAGAGTTAATGATAAATTGATATGCCGATAACATAATTTTGTTAAAAATGAAGAGAGCTTAAGCACTTGATGATGAAGGTGAAAGACAATAGCTTTCAGTATGGACTATACCCCAACATAAGAATAGGACAAAAATCTTCACAATTGGATCAACAACAACATCATGAAGAAAGGAGAAAGCATTAAAATTGCCAAGGATTTTGTTTTACTTTGATCCACAACCAATACCCATGGAAACAGCATCGGGACTCCTTGAAAGTCTTAAGAGCAAAGATGTCATGCTGCGGACTGAAGTGCACCTCCAGGCAGTGACAGTGTCGGTCATTTTGTATACATGTGTAAGCTGGCCAGTGAGTAAAGATGATAGGGGAAGAACGGATGCATTTGAATTGTTGTGTTTTTGAATATTGAATATACTGTTGACAGAGAGCATACAAATA